CACTAATACACAATAGATTCGATCTCAAAAAAACTTCTATCTGCTCTAAGATTTGATCTCAAAAGAACTTCTATCTGCTCTGATATCTTGTTGTCTAACCATCTCATCTAAAAGTTTAAGCTGTTAGAGATATATTGTGAATATAATTTTTGTCGTCAAATTCAGGTGTTGATAATGTAGAAATAGATATGGCTATGCAAAAGGTGACAGTAACAGGATGAGCTGATCAAAGGAAAAATACTAAAAACAGTTAGAAGAACTGGTAAAAGAGCTGAAATATGGTAATTTTCTCATAATCCTGAGATGAGAAATAACCCTACTTATGTAACCGATCATTATTATCAACAACAAGGCTGCAGTGGTCCGATCACTTATTACGCCGGAGAACCACCGGCATCCACCTATAACTATTGCAAACACGGCTACGATAACTATGGTCGTGCCTATAGTCTTTATAGGGGCAACTCAAACACATTTGGTAGTCTAGTTGGTGATGCTTTTAGTGATGAGAATCCTCGTGGTTGTAATATTATGTAATTGTTGTTTGATGTTCTCAGAGTGTAAGAGTCCGTTTGAATTGACTTATAAAAAAATGTATAATATATAAATATGACTTTAACTTGATGTCAGTTGACAATTATGACCCTTAACTTTGGATGTGTACAAATAGACACTTAAACTTGTAGAAAATTGAACAAATAGATACATGTGTTCAACATGACATGGTACACGTAGAACGCCATGTACAACACAAAAATTTTCATGTAGGATGCCATGTAGAACGAATGTGTTAATTTGTTCAATATTATACAAGTTTAAGTGTTTACTTGTGCACACTTAAAGTTAATGATTATAATTGCCAAATGACGTCAAATTAAGGATCATGTTTATGTGTCATACATACTTTCTTCGATATAATTTTTTCCTTTGTATAGAAAAGTGAAAACAAACGTATAAGATATAGCACTCTAATTTAAAAAATCAACAAAAGGCGCTTGAATCTCTTCCCAAAAATTGAAAAATTTAAAGAGTGTAATCAATCCCCACATAAATAAGATGTGCGATGATTAACTAATGGAAAATTCATAATTGGTCGTATTTATATGTTCGATTGAATAAGAAACAAGATGATGATTATCACTGTGCAAATATCGAAGAACAAACTATGTATTTTCATGTAGACTTTATAATAATTATTAAAAATTAAGATACAAGTGAGTTGGTATTGTTGAAAGGTAATTTATATTTATTTGCGTATACATGAGACCCAAATGTTAAGTTGAGCTTAATAATTTACAAATTATATAAATTCTCGATGACACTAAAAATTTTTTTTTATTAAAAATTTTTGGATACTATTTCACAGTTATATAAATCTCAAACATAGACATACACGCATAATGTACGAATCTAACAAAGATAATAAAACGCTTGAAAAATGGGCAACTTTTACATATAGCAAACAAAAAATTCATATTTGTATGCTATAACAAAGTTTGCATAATTGCGCTCCATAGCAAACATAAAACTGTATAATTCGCTATACATATACAATTGTATAATTCGCTGG